GACGTCCTGGCGTTCCTGAAGGGCAGGGGCCGGGACCCTGGCGGCGCGGAGGGCCAGGAGGGGCGGCCTCCTCTCCTCCCCCCCCCCCAGTGGCCCGGGGGCAGCGCTGCGCGCCCCGGGGAGGAGAGAGGCCGCAGGCGGGGCATCGCTCGGACGTGTCCGGTTTTTCCCCCGCGAGGGCCAGCGCGAGGAGCATCTTGGGCCATCTCGGGGAGAAACAGGCGCGCGACATCGACAGATGCAGGGGGAATGGACGTCCGATCTGACCCCGTCTGCTCCGACCCCATCTGGGAGGCCCCTGTTGTCCTGCCTCGGATCTGGCCTTCCTCTCTGCTCTGTCGGGCTCGGGTCTGAGTTCGGCCAGCTCTTGCTGCGAAGTCCCGGCGCTTGAGGTGCCAGGGGGTGCGGGCGTTCACAGGGACTTCGAAAAAGAAGAGTAACTAACAGCAACAACAACAACAACACCAACAACAACAGTCATTTTGAGACTGCTCGCTCTTATCTGCTCGCCTGCCACTCAACACGTATATCCCCAACCCTCGACGCCCGCCCTCTTCGTCTTTGACCATACCCCCTTGGGGTTGTATCTCTCTTACCTGCAACGTGTATTTCGTGCAGCCCCGAAGCCAGGGGAAGAGAGGACGGATGGAAAGAAGGGACACGGGGGAGGGAGGAGGATGGAGCACAAGAGAGAGTAGCAGGAGGAGGGCTAGGAGCAGAAAGCACGTGGCAGAACAACACGGGCAGGTCAGGCGAGTAGACCCTGACAGGCGGGTCGGAAAGGAGGGCCCAGGCGGCCAGGTCGAGCAGGCGGGTTACTGAAGCGTGCGTTCTGTATGAATCGCGAGGAATCTCAAGCGACAGCGCGATTCCCAAATTAATCGGGAGGAAATCCGCAGTGAGAGCGCGATTCCTGAGTGTCGAGGGCGCGGCGTCTGAATATATCGCGAGGAAGTCCCACGCGAGAGCGCGATTCCCTCATATATTGTGAGGAAGTCCCGCGCGAGAGCGCGATTTGGAATACATGGTATGCATGGTGAGGAAGTATCAGGCGGGAGCCGCTGCTCCTGTAAACCAGCGCCCAACATTTTCATTCTGAGACCCAAAACTTTTCCTGATAAACAGGGTGCGAGCCCCAGGAAGGGCACTTCAAAAGTCAGCCTGACGAATGTCCCAACCATATGCAGCTGCGAGTGCCACATTGTTGGTACCGCCGTCGGTGGAGCTCCCTATGAAGCCACGTAACCTGCGAGGGGTGCGCCGGCATCGGTGGCGAGGACGCATGCGGCCTGTGCCACTGGAGCCTTCGGTGGATCTCCTTATTGGGCCACGAAGCGCTGCCTTGGGTGGCGCTGACGCATGCGAGCTCCCTATGGGGCCACGAAGCGCTGTCCTGGGTGGCGTTGACGCATGCATGCGGCCTGTGCCACTGGAGCCTTCGGTGGAGTTCCCTTTTGGGCCACGAAGCGTTGTGCTGGGTGGCGTTGGCGCATGCGGCCTGTGCCACTGGAGCCTGCGGTGGAGCTCCCTTTGGGGCCACGAAACGCTGTCCTGGGTGGCGTTGACGCATGCGGCCTGTGCCACTGGAGCATTCGGTGGAGTTCCCTATGGGGCCACGAAGAGGTCATGGGTGGCGTTGACGTATGCGACCTGTGCCACTGGAGCCTTCGGTGGAGTTCCCTATGGGCCACGAAACGGTGTCCTGGGTGGGGTTGACGCAAGTGGTCTGTGCCACTGGAACGATCGGTGGAGCTCGCTATGGGGCCACGAAGCGCTGTCTGTCCTGGGTGGCGTTGACGCATGCGGCCTGTGCCACAGGAGCCTTCGGTGGAGCTCCCCATGGGGCCACGAAGCGATGTGTTGGGTGGCGTTGACGCATGCGGCCTGTGCCACTCGAGCCTTCGGTGGAGCTCCATATGGGGCCACGAAACGCTGCCCTGTGTGGCGTTGACGCATGCGGCCTGTGCCACTCGAGCCTTCGGTGGAGCTCCCTATGTGGCCAAGAAGCGCCGTCCTGGGTGGCGTTGACGCATGCGGCCTGTGCTACTGGAGCCTTCGGTGGAGCTCCGCCTGGAGCCCCGAAGCGCTGTCCTGGGTGGCGGTGACGCATGCGGCCTGTGCCACTGAAGCCTTCGGTGGAGCTCCCTATGGGGCCACGAAGCGCTGTCCTGGGTGGCGTTGACGTATGCGGCCTGTGCCACTGGACCCTTCGGTGGAGCTCGCTATGGGGCCACCGCTGTCTTGGGTGGCGTAGACGCAGGCGGCCTGAGGCGGATGGAAAGAGGGAGGAGAGGAGGAGGAGGAGCAGAGAAGAGGAGTCGCGGGGCGCTGTCTCTTCAAAACGAGGACCCAGCACCACAGGATGGTTGGGGAAAAAACACAACGTGCCCCGGAGGGGGGATCAACAATACTTATTCCCCAGTAGTGATGGGGTCAACAGCAGCAACAACAATAATTCCAACCATAACAACAACAGCAGCAGCAACAACAATACTTATTCCTCAGTAGGGAGGGGTCAACAGCAGCAACAACAATCCTATCAACCGTAACAACAACGGCAGCAGCAGCAACAACAATAGCACATCCATACAACAAGGGCTCCCCCGAGGGCGCGAAGTTATTCGCGCTTCGCGCTTCGCGGTCCTCGTTCCTTCTCCCCCTCCTCCTCGTCCTCCTATTCTCCCTTTGGGAGAGCGGCGCGAGAGCGCGAAGTTATTCGCGCTTCGCGCTTCGCGCAGCGCGAAGCGCGAAGTTGGGAGCCCTAGATACATGTCGGGAGGGCGGCGCGGACCTCCCGCGTCGGCGCCGGGCCCCCCCCTCCCTCGCACGAAGCGCGCCGGGGGCAAACCGCCAGGGAGGCACAGCGCCGACGCAAAGCTGCGCGCGGATCTTCAGAGGTTTCTGCTTGTGCAGCCTGCTGTTCCTAGGAGCCTCCGGGTCCGGCAGTGCCTGCTCATGCCTGATTCACTGATCGATGGGCGCCCCTGGGGCCACGAGGGGTTTGCCAAGGGGCTGCCAGAGCATCCCCTCGCACCATCCCAGGAGCCCACGGGGCTCTCAAAGGCCTCGCGAGGGGCTGCTCCGGGGGGGCCCCCTGGGCCTACCGGAGGAAACCGGAGCCACCTTCCAGGAACTTTTGGGGGGGACGTGGAGGGGGCGGTATATCCCAGGGTGGGCTCAATTAGGGAAGGATCCCAGCTGGATGCACACACTTTCCTTCCGGAGGCCGATTTGAAACAGATTCGCCTCCAACCCCACCGATACCCCACCCCACGTTCAGTCGACGAGCGTCGTCCGATCCATACCCCTCCTGCTGCTCCAGGAGCCAGAATCTTGTCCACACATCCGCTCTGGCGCCTCGTGGGGTCGGGGCGTGAGGAGGGGCATGGGTACGATGTCGATCGCCTGCTTGGCCACAGTCCCCAGAGCGTGCCATCGATCGACCGCGAGCATCTCGAGTTCCTCCTCCGAGGGCTCCGGCCTGCACGCCCGCCCTCGAGTACGGCCGGGGGCGGCCTGAGCCTCTGCGAGGCAGTTGTCGTGGTCGCATCGTGGGCCACATGAGGGGGGGGGGGACGAGGACAAGGAGGAGAGTGAGCGTCGTGAGGTAGCTTGGGCAGCCCTCTTGTCAGGAGCGAAAGAAGGACGTACACGTACATGAATCCACGCTGGTTTCGAGCGTACGCGTTGCGCAGATGTTCGTATAGCGCGGCTGGTCTCGCGGATCGAGGGGCCGTGTTCATGTACATAGCTGGGCGCGTACGTATTTTGTGGGCTCCCTATCTTGAGGGCTCGGGAGCAGAGGAGGCGATAGGGGGGATCGAGGATGGCAGGAAAGTTGCCCCTGAGGGTCCCGCCTGAACTGCCCCCGCGGGCTTCTTCAGCTCCCCCCCCCCCCGTTCACTTCCCCCCTGTCAACGATCGCCCGACTCCCTGCCCATTTGCCGCTGTGTCGAGGAGGGCGGCGGCGAGGTGAAGGAGGCGGCGCCCAGTGCTACGCAGATCACCCTGCACGAGGCTGGCCCGCTGCCCTCGCTGCGGGGCGGAGGCTAGGATGGTGGGACGAAATCGGAGGGAGGGGACGGGGAAGAGGAGGGGGGCGGAAGAGGAGGAGGAGGAGGAGGAGGCGGAGGTGGAGGATGTGGATGATGCGGAATGATATCAGGGGGATGAGGGTCAGAATCAGGAGGGTGATGGTGATGGTGACGGTGATGAGGGAGTTGGTGTTGGTGTTAGTGACGATGACGATGGCGATGACGATCATGCTGATGATGAAGATGTTGCTGCTGCTGATGATGATAATGCTGAGTATGATGAGTATGATGATGATGCTGATGATGATGATGATGATGATGGTGGTAAGGATGTTGACAATTGATGATGATGATGCTGATGATGATAATGATGATGATGCCGATTATGGTGATGATGACTGTGATGCTGCTGATATTGATGCTGCTGCTGATGATGATGGTGATGCTGATTATGATGATGATGCTGACGATGATGGTAATGATGATGATGATGATGATGATGATGATGTTGATGTTGATGATGATTAGGATAAGGCTGTGGATACGCATGGTGATGATACTGATGATGCTGATGCTGATGCAGATGATGATGGGTATTACGATGATGATGCTGATGATGATGATGATGATGATGATGATGAGCATGGTGACGAAGACGATTATGAGGAGGATGCTGATGATGATGATGGTGATGCTGATGATGATGGTGGTGACGAGGATGCTGATGCTGCTGATGATTATGGTGGCATATGTTGATGCACATGATGATCATGCTGGGTATGATGTTGACGACGATGCTGATGAGGATGAGTATAATGAGGATGACCATGATGATGCTGCTCATGATGATGATGACGATGCTGATGGTGATGATGATGCTGATGGTGATGATGATGGTGGTGTTGATGCTGATTCTGATGATGTTGATGATGCTGAGGAATATGATTATGATGATGCTGTTGATGC